GTTGTTAATGTGCTAACTGGCTAACTGACATCATGACGCTCTTCCTGTTTCCCTTTGTGAATGATGATAACAGACCTCTGCTATCTGCTGCTGTGGAGAGTTAATTCCTCTGACACAGGTGCAGGACGTACGCACTGGTTGGCCAATGTCTGTCGTTTTGCAGTGTGTTCATGTGCAATTTTTTTGTCAGATGCAAGGCAATGTCAGGCATGCAGCAGGGGCCCTCTTCACTAGCTTGGCGTGTCCAGACCCAATTCGCGAAATGCGAGAAATGCGAGTGTACATTTCCCGAGGAGCGGGATCAACAGCTGTCACTCAAAGTGCCCCTTCACACAATTGGAAAGATGGAAAACCAATCAGAGTAAAGGAAACGTGTGACGTAGGCTAGCACAACGCCACTGTAAACAGACCAGCAAGCTGCAGCGGAGATGAGCTGTGGTGAAAGAGTGTTGCCGTCTTTGTGGATTTCCTCCTCACTGTGGACTCCGAGTTGCACGGCTGTGATTCCCAGCTTGGTCGATTCCCTGACCTGCTCCTCCATGAGAGCAACTAGCGGAGAAACAACAATAGCCACTGGGTTTTCACTGAGTCCCATCTTTTTTCCGATCAACGGAGCCAGTTGGTAAATTAAACTTTTACCAAACCCCGTAGGAAGGACGGCAAACACATCCTTTTGTTCAGTAAAAGCTTTCAGTGCAGCCGTCTGTTCTGCTTTTAAAGAAAATGTACATTCCAGTTGGTTCAACACATTTACCATCGCAGCTTCAAAATCAGTAGCCATGTTGGTTGTTTACGAAATGCATTCACTCCGCTCCTTGTCCCTCCTATTCTGATGACGTGCCCGCCCCAAAGTAATAAACGGTTGTGATTGGCCCGGTATCCTTTAACCGATGCCAGAATGTGCCTTAATGATTGCTATCTGTGGAGCGAAATAGAATATGAGCTCGCGAGACCAGGATGGTTTCACCAGGCTACCTCTTCACTGCTAGTTCTCTGAAGTCGGTTTGGTGTGTCTGGACCTGAACCCTGTTCCTGAAAGAGCCCAGTCTGCTCTGAATGATCAGCACTTCCAAGTCTTTGTGCATCATTACAGCCAGAGAATGATAAATAGTGGCACTTTCTACAGCAAAGAAAAAGCTATAAAAACTTCTAAACCAAAGTCTTCAGAACCGGAAAAGATCCAGCAGTAATACAATCTGAAATCGGGAAGAAATTAAACAAAATAATTTACCCACAAAATGACCATTAGTGTATAAAGTACTCACTGTGAGTAATGTTGACTTTGTGAAGAAAACTTTTTTCTTGCATGCCTCCAAAAAAGGTGGACAATCTTCATGAATTGAAGTGAACGGGGACCGTGTTTAACAACAGCAACACTGATCAAAACATCCGTTCACAAACTCTGACACAACTCGTCCACTATAATCCAAGTCTCATTAGGCCCGTTTCCACTGAAGAAGTTCCTGGTACTATTTGGAGGGCAGGAACTTTACAGGAACGTCCTCTCGCTCGGCCCTCTCAACCGCCGTGTCTCCACTGAGAGGACGGAGTAGGAGGAAGGTTCCTGTAAAGTTACCGAGCTCTAGATGTGAAATAACTGTTGTGCAACCATTTTAAAATGCCAGCAATGCCTGGACCTCTTTGTCGGTCCATTTGTCATTCGATTTGTCTTCCATTTCTTGCTTTTCTTCTTACGACTCCTTTTAAAAATGCGACTCCTCGTCTGCTGAGTTTTAAAAATGCCGGCTATTTTGTCCACCCAGGAGTTTTTCGGGGCCGTTCTGAGTACCTACTCTGAGGCAGGGACTTGTTTAGCCCCTGTAAAAGTTCTGGAACTCTGTCCTGGTGGTTCCTGCGGTGGAGACACGCACCAACAGCCCCGCCCCATAAAATTACCCCGAAGTTCCTGCAGTGGAAACGGGCCTATTTATACAGTCGTATGCTCAGTACTTCTCAAACACATGTCCCTGTCTGCAGACAGTCGACCTTCGGCTTGGTGTGTCAGGGCCTTAAGACAGGACGTGTGAGACAGAGGGTGAGTACAGGTGTTCCAGCACAGACAGGACGAGGAAAGTAAAGTGTTTTTGAATATTAAAGCTTGTAAACATATTTTCATAGAAACCCAAAGTATGAACCTGAAAATGAGCAGAATGCACCCTCTGTTAAACTGATCTTAGATACAGGTACTTTCTACCACTGATGAATAGTCACAGCACGACAGCATCTATCTACCCACGAGAAGATACTCTCACACAGTGACTCAGTTTCCAGTATTAGTTAATCTGCTGCTCTGTGGTCAGCCGGTGAGAGGAGAGATGGTGACGCTCTGACAGGTAGTCGTATCCGTCTGTTGACTGACTGGAAAAAAAAGCGAATGGAAAAAAGCGGATTTGTCGTTGATACATCAGCGTCAGTCACTCACCTTCCCTGACCTGACATTTCAAAATGAATGAGGCTGACCCATCCATACACACCGTGTGTGTGTGTGTGTGTGTGTGTGTGTGATTGGTCCAGCCTATTCTCCGTGCTGTCAGTGGCAGGAAGAGTGGTAAGTGAAATATCAATTTCATCCAGAGTCCAATCATGAATTTGCATATTCATGGCGGTGGTAACTGGTATTAAAGCTGGCCGGCGGTCTGTGTGTCTCACATTCAGAGCCTGATTAGACGGCTGGCTGAAGGAGAAACTAACTTGTTCTCCGTGTTACATGCAGCGCTTCATATCTTTTAATCATGTAACGACTCTCATGTGACACATCCTGCAGATGTGCTATATGAAGCATGCACTGCATGCGAGAGTGATGTGATGTCGCTCCAATAAACCTACAATAAAATAAAAACGTTGAATTCTCTCTTTGCTGCGACTGTTCAGGAGGCATTGGGCTGTACTAAATGACATTCTACCAGTGTGTGACAGATGGTGCTCATCTGCAGGAAATTCATACATGCTTTATTAAAAATTAAATCTACAAAAAAGAGCAGACAGATCAGACAGCTGAGTGAGAACCAGTTGGCTCTCACATTAACCAGAATAATGTCATCCAGACAAAGTCACAAAAAAGTTAAAATTAACCCAAGTATAATCACGACAAACAAAGACGTATTAATTGTCTGTCAATCCACTGATTGTTTCAGTTGTATTTATTTTTGGGAAGTTTTATTAATAATCTTCTTTGTAAACTAAAGCTGGCCTAAATAAAATAAATGCAGTGGAGTTAAATATATTTTTATGTATTTAAATAGCTTTGGCAGTGATTTTGTTTTTAGATTCTTGGTGATGCAACAATAATCACTAGTGTTCACTGGCTCAACACGGGACATTGTTTTTTTAAACAGCTGCTTTTAACTGCGAAGTCGATTGTTTTATCACTCAGCAACAACCTGGACTGGCGGAGTGCAGACATTCATCTGCTGAGCTGCCAGAAACAGCTGGATAAAGCAAAGCACGCTGTGTCACATTAAACATGTGTCACGGCTGATTTACAATGACGATCACCTCATTATACTTTCTGCAGTGGAAAACAAAATGAAGAAAAGCACCTGTTAACAAAAGTGAGTCGAGTTGAGCCATGCAGTGGAAATGAAGTGTCTGTAAAGTAAAAGGTAAATGCATTAGCGCTTCACACTATGTTTACTCATTCACACACTGTTGGCCCAGGCTACCATACAAGGGGCCACCTGCCACTCAGTTCAGACCCTGACTGGAGGAGCCGGGGTCGAACCGCCGATCTTCAGATTAGTGGACCACATGCTTTGCCTCCTGAACCCCCCATGGTATCACTGCACAGAAGGAAGTGTGCATCTACTGCTAGCTCATTTAGCAGCACTGAGCTAGCTAACGTTACAGCTCAGCCGACAAAGACACCATCAATGTTACATCTCGTGCTGTGATGAACACAAGCCTCTTGTCCATGAGTTGATGCACGCTTCCTTCTGCGTGGTGAAACGGTTGGCAGCGTTAGTTTGGTGGAAAGAAAATTTTTACATGAAACTGCTCACAAGGTTCAAGCTGAGAGAGAGAGACATCTCTACGGCTGATATCTCCAACACTCTGCAGCTCACACCAAAACTATCCAGACTGAGACACATCTCTACAGGTGAGAGGACAAATATGGGTTTTTGATTTGAGGATAAACTGCTCCTTTAAAATGAGTAAAACTTAAATTATTATTATTAAATTAGGTGAATATTTCTGTCTTTGTTTTACTGAGTTTTAGTCCTCGCAGAGTTTAATGCTGGTTCGAGCTGTGATGTATCTCTGAGGGAGAGAAGCTTTCACCTGGAGCCTCTGTGTATTTGACACAGTGTTGTCTGATGTGTTTGTATGACTGCCTCTGCAGACGCCATTAAAGTGGAGCTGCCTTCACTGCAACACGCTGAGAGGAAATACACTCAGTTATTTTTAAGAGGATTAAGAGGTTTGGTTTTCTGACTTACTTGATATTTCTGTGGAAAAGAACAACAGTGCTCATCAAACTAACGACTGTATGCAGTGCATTATTATTGTTGGGATGAAGATTTAGACTGAAGCAGAAACAGACTCAGAGTCTCTCACAGGTTGTGTCCACAGTGGCTTTGAATTGTGCATGAAATGACTCAACTTAATGATTTAGGGAGGAAAGCTTGACAGTCTTTTTCCATCTGTGATTTCCACTCAGTCTCTCTTCTGGGTGTTCATTAAAATAAATCAGAGTTAAAAGCAAATACTGAAGCCACTGAGGAGGAACAGGAGCAAAACCTGGAGAAGTGAGTGGAGTTAGTGAAACAGAAATGTGCCTGGTTGAAAGTGGGAAACTGACTCCAGCTGTAGGATGGTACTGTAGCTTGTTGTTGTTTTGTGCCTCCCAGTTTAAAGTGAGCTGCGACTGTGGCAGGTCGAAGGCTATTAATAGCAGAGCCAAATATTTTGGCACATATTTTTGACATCCTGTGGTTCTGAGGGAGACTCTGAGCCACAGTAACAGGCTGTATACAGATACCTCCCTTTAGTTTGATTCTTACCATGAAGTGATCAGGTACTGAGCCAGGTTGATGGCTATCGGTGTGCCGGTGATGGTGACGTGACGGTCACTGGTGCTGTCGATCTGACTGCCGATCTTGATCTGAGCCCCAGACACCTGCCGGATCTCGTTTATCTTGGTGCCCTGGCGACCGATGATTGAGCCGATCAGCTGTGTGGAGGATGAGACGGAGAGGATTATAATTAGAGACATTTACTGCAGCGTGATGAGTTTCTCAAAGTGAGGACTGTATTATTTTATTTGTCTGCAATTCATCCGTGTCTCTTTCATCACATGTTTATTAATCTTTCTGTGTCATATATTTTTGGTGTGGAACTCCATTTGAATGCTTTTCAGTCCGTTTTCAAAGACCAGGAGGAGACGGAGTCACTGGGGTGTCGGTGCTTAAACTGCGGATGCCTGGCTTGTACTGCACTTTGTTCAATGGGATGTTTTATATTGTTGCATAGATGTGGATGGCTTCATTTTCAGCCACAAAACTCCTTTAGCTCTGTTTACTGTTAGCTAGGGTGACCATATTTTGATTTCCAAAAAAGAGGACACTCAGCCCGGCCACGACATAGCCTACTTAAATGATACTCGCAGTTTACTCAAAGATGCCTTAAAATGATAAGGCATCTTATAAACATACATACATATAAACTTTAAATATATTAAAGTTTATATGTATGGATAGAAATTCAGTTATATTACAAAATAATATCTCTCAAAGACAGAAATTCAGATAGGCTTCTCAGAGGTTACTCAACTTGCTTTTATTATGCCTAAAATAATTATCTTTTTACAAGTTTCAATTGTACAAAAATAAATATAAATGTAAAATAAATGTAAAATCTCTGGAATGAAACAATGATAGAAATAATGTCTCTTCTGTATTAGAAAAATCAACTTGTAAAATAATAGCTGTCTTTTCAAGTCTTACTGGACAAATAAACAAATAAATAAATAATATAAATAATGTTCTAAATAATTCTGTATTACAAAATCCAACTTTGAGCTCCCCGGCACCTTTATTAGACACAGAATCATATGTGCCAGCTTTGCATACGGTAAGTTGGGAATTTTTTCTGCAGTTCATCTGTGAAGCTGCACTTGCGGTTTGGCATCTTGGAAGCTTAGAATAATGCTGCGCAGCGGGTGTCTGCTGCTTCCTCGTTGTGAGTGTTGGAGATCCGCCGATAAGGCAGCCTCTCGGGGATTACACACATACACACACACAAAAGGAAAACCGGACATTATCATCAATTTATAAACACCCCCAGGACGCCCCGGACATGACGTGAAAAGTGGACATGTCCGGGCAAACAGTGCTAACAGTGCTAACAGTGATAACATAGCTAACAATGCTGAAAGGGGCTTTGCTGCTCAAAACTGAGGTGCTTACTCAGCGGAGCGACCTCAGGGGAGAGCGGAGGGCGGGGACAATGTGTCCACAGCAACCCTGCTAGGTCAGGACGGGGTTACTAACAACATATGTGTTCAGGCTGCTAATTTGTCCTGTAGGGGTCACTGTATTGTCATGTGTGTCTGCCAATACAGGTAGGAACCGTTCATTAAGGGACAGGTGTTGACAGACAGGGGAGCAAACACAGCTTTTGACCACAACGCCAGGTGTTCACTGCTCAACAGTGAAAATTTGTACCTTTGAACGGTTTATGGACACAGGTTCATGTATGTTTGACAGCGGTAACAAATAAATGATGCACCATAGAAGACCAAGAAGTGGACTCTTTGTTTTTACCTGAAGAGATGCGGCCAGTTTGGTCAGGTGAGCGCATCAATTAGTAAGTAGCCCGTCCATGCAGCTCCTCAGTGGCTTTAAGTTTAGGCTTAGCCAACATAAGTGATGAAGAAGACGCTTTGACTTCTGTTTCTCCGCCACTTTAATGGAACTGAGCCTTTGTTAGTCAGACCTTTATGGTACATTGGATAATCACGGCCACATAATAATCATGTGTTGACATTTGTCCACCTCAGTTGACATAAACGAGGAGGACTAAATGTTAAAAACCACGACTACAGCGCTGACAAGCCTCCACCCTTTCATCCTCTGCATCCATTCCTCTTGTTATCGCTTCATGTCTGTCTGAGAATATGGAGCAGCAACAGGTGGTGAACTCTGACTCATCTGCGCGCCATGAGCTCAGTGTGTCTGTGTGTGCTATACTAGTCCCAGTGGGGGTTTTGTCATGCAGTGGATGTCACAGTAACAATAGACAGATAGTTACTGAGCTCCTCTGAGTGTCAGCTCACACCATAAATATGTCTCGTTACCTTTTTTTTTTTCCCTACAGGACAAAGAGGCGTTGGCTGTGCTGCGTCTCCTCAGTGTCAGGGTTACATCTGGAGCTGAACTGCTTAAAAATCAGATGTGCTGATGTAAGTGTTCACAGATCAAACAGAAACTTGATAATAACTAAACAACAGGACTGAAAATATCAGCGAGGATCGAGGTCAAATGAGACCAGGTTTCATTTTTCTCTGACAAAACAATAACTATTAATGACCCTGACACTCTGTTATCATGCAGAGGAAGTGTTGGTGATACTTTCCTCTTGACGCAAAGTATCTGACGGCGTGAAACACAGGTGGAATATATTTAAGGATTTAAGTGTCTCGCGATAATGAGGAGTCACAGTGTCAACACCAGGGAGGGCGTTAATGTAATGCAATTAAAAAACATAACAACAATGGTAAAGAATCAGTGTACAAACAGATAATTAACTCTGCACAGCTCACTAGTCTGAAATGTATCAGACACACAGAATTAAATCATTTTATCTTTTACAGTTAATTATTGTTTCACTTGTTAAGAAAATTAAGAGGCAATAATGTAATAAAACTTTGCCTCAGAGATCAGTGATTCGTTTCAGGTTAATGAGTTGTAATGAAAGGAAATGTAATTCTCATTCCACCCACTGTCTTATTATTATTGTTATTAGTTTATTTGTGATCATAATATAATTATCATTTCATGAAATCAAAACAAGCTGTTAGATTTCAGAATAATTCTATGATCACAGATAAACAAAGCTTGTTCTGTCAAGACGAGGATGTAATTACTTTGTGATCCTTAGAAAACACACATACTATATAAAAACACATATTTTCTCTGCCTCTGAGCCACAGTGTGCACACACAGGAGGAACAAGACTCATGCAAATAAAATTATCTAAAATAAACTACAAGTTATTTTGCTTCAACTGCGATGACAAAAAGAAAATTGCAGGCTGTCAGATAAAACAGAATTATTAGCTTAACAACACACTGTAACTTAACCTCACACAAGGTCAGTTTAAGTGCAGTGCTACAGATAAGTGACAAAAACCAACATAACAAAATCTTTACTGATTTATTTTCTAACGCCTGGGTCTTCAACAGGAGGTCCTCAGAGCCAAATTACTGCTTAATAAATATTTTTTCCCTTTCAAAAATTAAAATGTGTCTGAAGATACACATTAACATGAATCCAGCATATTATTAGCAAGACTGGCCTATTCATGAAACCCTTTTAAGTTACAGCACATTAGTAGTAGGCTAAAGCTGAAAACATGTAGGTGCATCGCATCATGTGCCGCACATCAAGTACCGCCCCTTGAACCAACAGGTCACGTCACGCTGCACCATGTTATAGTGCTGCACGATTTGATAAAAATGAGCGATTGCGATTTGAGTAGACGATATCGCGATTTGCGATTGTGATTACGATATAATAAATAAATGGTATCATGAGTTGCTTGATTCAGTGTTTCCCTACATTATATCAGGGGGCACTGACCTGACATAGTTATTGTTATGGACAGTGTGTCAATGACCATCAACAGACTGAGCACAGTCAAACACGCTGCTCACACAGCAGCGCAGCACGGAACTGTACACACAGCAGAGTGAGCCTGTGTTGTGTTCAGGCGTTGTCACGTAAATGTTAATTCCAGCACGCCACAGCACAACACAGCAGCATGTCAAGTGGGCCGAAACCGAGCAAACTTTTGCTCAATTTTTCATTTGTTTTTATATAGTTTGTTATGGAGTCCATGATTTCCCTGTGACACAACGGATGTTTGCGTAACTGTGCTTGGATGTTGTTTCATGAGGCTCTGGCGGTTTTCAGTTGTCTCTTTGTCTTTAACGTTACTCGGCTCGGCTTTCTCTCACATGCACTCTTCCTACTTTTCTCTGTGCTGTCTCAAGTGCTGATATAGATTGGTCGTGTTGCCGCGGGACGTGGCGACTTTAACTTTTAAACTTTTACACAGCACGTCTTTCTGTTCAACGTCGCCATACCTGAATCCAAAGTATCGCCATGTAATAGACGTTGCGTTTTTTTCGCCACCAACTCAGCCTGTTCATGGTCGTGCTCATGCTCTTCTTCAGCGTCTATGTTGGTCACTGCTTCACGCCAGATAGTCACATGACCATACGTGCTGCACACACCAGGATAGCTTGTGGGTGTGATGTCAACAAACTCCACACACTACAGGAGAGGCAGTCACGTTCACAGGCACACACGTTAACATTTATTTACATTAAATCGCAAATCATAGCCTTTAATGTGGTTATGTAATCGCACAGGCTGACATCACGATTACAACTGCGATTAGATTAATCGTGCAGCACTACCGTGTTAACAGAAGACCACACTAAGTTTTTACTACCTTTACTAAAAGATCTTTCACCTCTGCGTTAGCTTAAAACCATAAAGATGTGGACACGTGCAAATTAAAACTGGTTTCTAACACAAAGAGCCAATCTCCAGAGCTGTGGCCAGGCATCATCTTTTTGTCATTGTCTTTATACTGACAGGACTGTGGGTCGTTCAGCTCGAGTTATTTCTCAAACTCAACAACAACTCTATGCTAATCATTCTTCGATGAACATGAGAGACAGCGACAGAGTTCTCTTTCCACATCCATGGTGAGGAGAGGAGTCGAGCTGCTACGGGAGCTGGTGTGTACGAGCAGAGAGTGAGTGAAGGAAAAATGCATTTAATCCAGAGGTGGTGAGGCTGGACGTAGGACAGTGGCGTGTAGTGCAGTAGGGCAGCGTGTTCAGGAGCGCTGACGTGCATCTAGCCACTGCCGGTGTGGTGTTGTACTTTAAATGTAATAGGGTCGACTGTTTTGATGCATGCTGTTAGGCGCCAGTGTGTT